TTTTGGAGAAGAATTTTAAATCAAAAGTACTTGCTCAAAGCTTTTCGTCCTCTTTAAATTGATGGAAACTAGTTTAAATTTCCAGATTTTAGTTCAGTAACAGAAGATGTTTAGCACAGAGATAAATCTATATTGAGATTTGATGGAGGATTAAAGTTGTCTTTAAATTGTGAAGAAGCTATTTGATGCTTGACATTTAAATCAATGTCAACATTTTCCCCATTTCCAGAGCATCTTGCAGTTCTCAGGTAAGTCTCTAAGGAGCCTCATGCCAGTACTTCTCGAAGTTATCGGTTAAAGCTGGGAAGGGACCACTTTACACAGCTCACAGAATATTTCATTGTCGTAATTTTTAGTTTAGCAATTGCTTTCTGTGTAGAATGTCATATTATACCAAGTTAGTGTCTACTTTAAAAGGAATGAACTTCTAAGAAGCCATAATATTCCTTGCATTTGATATAATGCCTTATCATGTTGTCATCATCTCAAAGCACTTCACAGGATTTACAGACTTACTGTAAAATGTAGTGACTGTATATTCACAGGTTAACATAGCAGCTAATTAGGACACAACAATATTCCACAAACGATCATGATGTGATTGACCAATTTTTTTTATTTGGGGGTTTTGTTGGCCAGGAGTCTAGAGAACTTTTTGAATAGTGATATGGAATCTTTAACATCCACTTGAAAGGCAGATAGGACCTCCCTTTAATGTCTCGACCATAAAACAGCACCTCCAAAATGCAACGCTCCCCCAACACTGTATTGGTGTGTCAGCCAAGATAGTGAACTCTAAGTCGCAATGTGGGGCTTAAACCCACAGCATTCTTACTCAGAGGTGAGAGTACACCAACTGAGCCAGGCTGACCCTAGCACCAATCTCAAAAGGATTGCCCAATACAAATGTAGGGATTTGTCATGTGATTTTTTACGAGGAAGCTAAAAGTATATTGAAAACGGATTTGCCAAGCAATTTTTTTATTTTAGGAAAATATCTAAAGCACCATTTTATGGCCTATTCCTTTGATTAAACAAGTTTGATTTATACACATACCTTGGAGTTGTCCTAAGATGATAAAATGACTTCCATCAAAGTGATTCATTCACAACCAGGCAATTCACGTTAATAAAATGCAACACTGGAAAGACCATGCTTAGATCACCTCAGAGATAATTAATAATAATAATAATCCTTGCATTTGATATAGCGCTTTTCACGTCGGGAGGACATCGCAAAGCGCTTCACAGAACACACTGTAAAGTGAATTGACTGTATACTTGTGGGCGAACGCAGCAGCCAATTGCGCACAGCAATGTCCCACAAACAGTCGTAGATTGAATATGACCAATTTATTATTGTTTTGTTTTGGAGGGATTATTATTAGGCGTGTGGAGTAAGGAAACTTGCCCAAGGTTTCGCCCTGCCTGGAATTGAACTCAGGTCTCTCGCTTGCAAAGCGAGTGCTCTAACCACTGAGCTACAGGACTCCACATTTTGATACAGTATCCCTCAAATAACCACATTATTTCACTACTTTCAGAACTCTGCAGCTCATGTCCTCTCCCACACCAAACTCTGTGAGCCCATCTTCACCACTCTCGCCCGACTCCACTGGCTCCCTATCCTTCAGAGGATCCAGTTCAAGATCCTGGTCCTCACATACAAAGTCCTCCATGGCCTCACGCCTTCAGCCACTCTGCCCCCAATCTCTGGAATTCCATCCCCCAGTCACTCCACCTCGCCCCCTCCTTAGCCTCCTTCAAGTCCCGCCTCAAGACCCTCCTCTTCGACCATGCCATCGGCCACCCTCCTTGCCCTCCCCTCCCTTACCCCCCTGACCCCAGATCGGGTCTGAAATGCTGTACTCCATCCAGCGCCTTGGGACGTTCTCCCGACATGAAAGGCGCTATACAAATGTAATCTTGTTTTTGTTCTACCCCTTGAAAGATAATATAATTGTCAACATAATCATAGCAAAGGTTAAAAATAAGCTGAGTTGTGGAATTACACCATCACTAGCTCCCATTTAACGTATCATAACTCAATTTAAGAATTATAGTAACTCAGCCATTAATGGGTTAAATTTAACATAAGGATAACATTCAATTTCCAAGATTACAGTAGGTGCTTGGCAATGTTAGACATGCCTTTTTATATAAATAAGATAACACATGAGGTACATTTGCAGCTTGGATGATGTTAGGACAAAGTCATACAGCCTTGTGTTCAAACAGTACTTCAATCAGTTTAGTACTCAAACACAGTGATGTATTCTGGTTTTGGCATTTGAAGTCTGCCTTCAACACTATATCCATAATCCTTTTTGATACCTTCCCCATTACTGATCAGTGGAGTTTGGAGAGAGTTGATAATGAGCCTTTCTAGAATCCTTTTCCTGTATTTTAAGGTCAACCCACATTTCAGTACCATCAATAGTATTAATAGCATGGAGAAAAAGAAGTGTTGGGTTTGTACAGGTCTTCCTACATATAAAAAAATAAACCAATTGTAATTTGTCATTCTGATCTTACTTCAACCTTTGCTGTAAATCACAGGTTGCACATTATAGAGAGGTCTACCGTTTAACCTTGTTATTGATGACAGCCTGGCTCAATTGGTAGCACTCTCACGTGTGGGTCAGAAGTTTGTGGATTCAAGTCCTGTCGAGGAGGACTTGGAGCTCATGCTCTGGGCTGACACTCTTGTGTATTGTTGGGGGAGTGCTACATTGTTGGGAGTGGAAACAATGTCACAATTTGAAAAGAAAATGAACATCCAGGGGATCTAGCCAACAATCCTCCAGTTAAATTGATTATTCACCTCCTGCCTGTTTGTGGGACAATGCTGTGCACAAACTGGCTGCTGCATCGGCTTACAGATACACCTTCATAGACATCAGAAGCCTTCCAGTACCTCACTAGTCTGTCTATTTTTCATGTATCAGTCTGGTTAATGAATATAGGCAGGATGTAGAACCACGTAAAGTGTCAACCAGGTCTGCTAATGTCTTCAACTCACCTCCACCTTCCACAACAAAGATTCACTGGACCACAATCAGGAACATGGCCCTTGGCTGTTTCTTTGCTCTCCCCAGACCAGATATACTGAACCAATTACATCTCCTCTGTCACCTGACTGGTCACCATACTTAGCACAAACAAGAGATAAAACTTGTGCCCTTTCTTTTATGAGTAGCTGAGTATCAAGTCGGGGAATGCATTTATCCACAAAGCCATCATGAAGCTGCAAAGAAAAAGCCTGAAGCTGAAGATTGACGTAGTCACATCACTGGTGCATTCAGTTCAATCTTTTTAACAGCTCAGCCATTGATGTATTTTCTCCAGTTCTGTGCATTTTAAAACATTTTCAACATTGAAATTTTTCACTCTAATTGCTCAGACCTTTCAGTGGCCCTCTGGCTTTGGCAATTTTTGCTTGAAACAAATGCATCTTTCAGTATAAATTCATTTCAAGACTGAAACAAACTATTCAGTATTAGTCAAATGTGATATGCTTGGTGGCTTTCATTTTGTTGCATTTTCTGTCCTACACTTAGAAGTAATGAATATGTGTTAAATTAAAAGAAGCAATTTGTAACTGAAAATAAATGGAATGATACCCACATCAGATTCTGTCTCTTTAAAAGGTTAGACGAAATGAATACAGGATGCCTTTAGTTTCAGGTTGCTATGGTAATGATAGGTAGGAGCTGGAATCAATCACTGTAGAAAGCTTATTGAAAATTGGGTGTGCCAACACATGAATGCATTGATCAAAAAATCCTTTCATGGGCATTTGGATATTGTAAAAGTTTTTATTAATATTGAATATAAACAGATAGAAATATACATAAACAAGAGGCATAAGGAAGTAAACAGTACATTTACAGCTTGTTACATGCCCCCGAGGAGGAAATTATCCTGTTATTACGCTAAGTTCTCAATGCAATGGATATATATCAATTCTTGATATATATATATATATATATATATATATTCTTTATCATCCTGATAAATTGTATTAACTCTTTCCCAATACCAATATGGTAAAAAAAATGTAACTCAGACTGAATCATAGTCCTGCTCTTTCGTCATACCTGGGCTGGACCTGCTCATTTGTAAACCTATAAAATGGTTACTTATGATGCAGCTGGCAAGCCTTGTGCACCACTTCTACAAGTGATGTGAGACCACCCAGAAATATATTTTCAAAGATCTTATTTGCTTTAGAAAACCCATGAATAAAATTTATAAAAGTGGGGTGTGATAATTTGATCAACTCAGTAATTTAATACTTCAAAATGACAGTAATGCTATACCTGTAAGAACTAGATTAAAGCCCTGCTGCCTATTTATTTAAAGTTTTTTTTTGCTCTTATGCTTATGGGATAATTACATATGGATTTACAGCTTGTTTACTCAGCTGAATGCTCAATTGGGAAAAGTATATTTTGAAAGGGAACACCTGGTATCTCCAGAGCACACATGGCAGGTGAATTCTCTAATCATCTTCCTGGGCAGAACCACAATTTAATCTTGTGCTTTTGGACACATCAAAAAGATCACACGGAAATAAATGTTTAAATCAAAAGTGAACCAGACACATTTTGAACTATATGCTGGACTCTGCACATTTCTCTATGGCTTCCTCAACTCCCAATACCTTATCCTGGAGTTGACGCAATGATAGTTAATGATTGCAGTTATATATTTTGCATCCACTTTATTGAAAGCTTGCTATATTATAGTGATGCAGTAATGCTTGTCAACTTATATCTTGGCAAATTGGATTAATGCCTTTTATCAGTTTGTCCCAGTGAAGCAGAACATATGAAAACTGGTTGAAATATGTTGCAAAGCTATTGTTGCTTGAGACAATTTTCCTTATGAAGTTATTTACGTCTCCATTAACTGCAGTCTTACTAACTGCTGTCAATGATTATTTTTAAAGTGCTGCTGTTTCTGGTGTGTTTAATTGTGTATTTAACCCCTTCTAGGTGAAGTCATGAGAGTCACATCAAGAGAATTTACAGATGACCCATGTGCCTTACCAAAAAGGGAAGCTGTGGTTCAAGCTGCCCGTGCTCTTCTTGCTGCTGTTACCAGACTCCTTATTCTGGCTGACATGATTGACGTTTTATACCTATTGCAACACCTTACAGTTGTAAGTACATTTGTATAAGATGAAAAGGTTTATTTCAATTAAAATATTATGGGGATATATTAATGCTATTGTAATTATTATTGATTATTAAAGTGATACTATATTACATATTTTTTTTATTAATAGGTCCAGAAAACATTTGAATTGTTAAAAAATGCATCAACCAAAGGTGAAATAAACAAGGCATACAAAATGTTTGGACACGATTTAGCAAAACTGGATGTTTTGACTCACAAACGACAACAGGTATGGATAGTTGATATTAATAATTGTCAGTGGTTTTACAGCCATACCAGAAAATATGACAACATTGCCTTCATTGTGCTTCAACATTTGGGAAGAATTTAAACTTAGACTTGAGTATGTCTGATACAGCAATCATTTCTCTAAATCATATCTCTCTTGGAATACAGAAATGTCCTAAAGAACTAATTATGAATCAGAAATACCAAAAATGGGGGGAAATGGAGATATTACGTGTTTCTATTAATTGTAGCCATTTTACCACATGGAGGATATCTCTCAAAGGATATCAGGTTGAGAAACTGTGGATTATAAAATAATTTATAATATTATAATGTCTATAATGTATGTTAGTCTCAACCAAATTATGTTTTCCCAAGCAATTTTGGTCACATATCACACTTGCTAATTCATTGACAAAATTACTGCTTATTTAGTGTTTTGTTACCCACATTAGAGAGCAGATTATGATACTCATTGAAAGTATGAATCAATCTTGTCTAATTGGCCTTGTTTGACACAGATAATTACAGGAATATGTAATGTCCTGTAAATATTAACTTGTTTATTCTATAACAGAATTCTTGGTAAGTGTAGTTTATATGAGAACTGACAGGATTTTGATTGTTTTGCTTATACCCTATTTATACTGTGCTTTTCTCATTTATTCAGTATAAAGATGGTGCTGAATTGATGCTAACAACACAATATAAATTGATCTTGAAGCAAATTGCACTAGAGACTGCCTTGAAGAGTTGGTTTCACCAGAAAAATGATTTGTGCCACTGCAGCATAAATGTCGAGTGAGGAGTTGATTTGGTCTCCATTCCAGAAATGGCTGCCCTTAAGCTTTTTAATAATATTAAAGAACAGGTCACATAATCAGCTCTGTAAATATCAGAAAACTAACTATTGGTTGGCAGAGCTCTAATCATGCACTTAGATGTACGTGTTTAAAGCTTTTAGTCCTCAGTGAATTCAATTTTGGAAGAAGACCTATAAATGCTGCTCTCTACTCTTAATCACTTGCAGCAATTAACAACAACAAATTACAATTGTATAGCACCTTTCACATCAGGAGGATGTCTAAAGACACCAATGTTAAATAGGGCAGTAATGATTTTATGAAACCCTGTGCGAGTTACATGGTAGTATTCTGGAATAATATAAGTGAAAAAATACTTAATTTGTAAACTTGAAGCTTTATATATACATTTATTTATTTCAAGCGATAAATATGCTGCAGTAAATCTATCTTAACATTTGATGTCACATGCAAGGTCTTATGAATGAAGCTTATCAGCATTGTCTCATAAATATCATATGGAGTAGCTGATATCCCAAGAATACCAAAGGGCTTCTATTTTCAGTTCAATACTGGTACTATTGCATATGCTCATCTGATGTAGTAGACAAAGGGAAGATTTTTAATCTGTGTTTACAAAACTTAATAAATTACCCTTTCAGTGTGAATTTTATACATCAAGTTTTATACATTTTTAGATTTGCCTGTTTCGGTTTTTGTATTTTAGTCTAACAGTTTTTTTCTCAAATACAAATTTATGCAAGGGCAACTCAATTCTAATCATTCTCCTAACTTGTTTTTTGCCACTAGATGTCACAATTGTCATGCTTTCTGTCATGTGATCTTTTATTACACTGAGAAGAAATTAGCATTTAGATGAGCAATTTGGGTGATCTGGTACTCTATTGGTTTGGACATGATTTGTGTCTGTAGGTAAAGAGCTCCATTTAGGGAGTATGCTTTTAAAGATGCATTGAATTATGTTACCTTTATTTAAAACACACACAAATTCAAAGTCCAAGTCTAACATTTTACAACCTTCTTATTGCAAAGCATTCAGAAGCAAACATTAAAATCTTTGATTACTATTCCATTGGTGTAGAAGTAACAAACTTAGCTAGAAAGAAGATAATTAAATGTAGTCATATGAAGTATTGCACTGCCAAATTTCCTTATTCTAAGATGCTACTCATTTGCCTATCACGGGAACATTGATGTACAATTCCTGAAGTACTAAACTGAAAAATTGCCTCAGATTGTCACTTGGACAATCAGAATTGTTATTGCATGAAATGGGCATTTTGGAATGAAAACTAGGAACAACAATACTGTATTCTGGGAATTTTGGAAGTTACATACATGAATTTGCTGAAAAAATATTTCTGGTGTCCAAGGGACATTTGTGGTAATATAATTGCTCCTACCATACAGATTATTGCCCTGAAGTCTTTGTTTTGCTGATAGAAATTATAATGCAGTACAGTATTTGTACATAGAAAGTCAGATTTTTTATATACAATAGAATGTTACTGGGATTAATATAATTTCAGGTGAAGATTCAGAATTGAAGTTTACTGATTGTAACATTATACCCAGAATGAAAGTGAAGGGAGTGTCAGAGAAAAATAAACATTTCCATGACTAACTTCTGACTAACTATTTTGCTGACAGACCACTCCAAGCTGCTTGAGCCAAAGAAACATAATGAAAATTATGATTACAGAGAATACTGTGATGACTGGAGCAACAGAAATGTAATAAAGTTCTGCTAACAAGCCAGGGATAATTTAAGCAGCAGAAATGTAATAACAATTCTTCATTCTCAGCACTCTCCACACACAATGGGATGGAGGTACGCACTGGTACCAAAGTATGAATAACCACCTGTTAAGATTTTACAATGTTAAGATGTGACTTTCCGTGTTTTCATGTTTTGCGTAAGGCAGTGTTATCTAATGGTCCTTAAAAAAAATCTAATGGTCCTCCAGTTAATTTCTCCACCATGTGAGAGAACCATAATCAAGTACACTTTTAGTTCTGATTCATGGGTAGTTTTGCCATCTATAGTCATACAGATGAGAAACTGAACTAAGACTTAGCCAAACTTACTGAATATAGAGGTGAAAGATTAACAAGTGGCAGTGCAGTATTAGCTCATGGAATCAGAAAGGAATACCAGTACTTGAATCATTTGTGCAATTACATTTGATGCTTGGTTGCTGCCTTCAGAAGTCTTTTCTATAGAGAATTCAATATACCCTATTGCAAGGCTCAATACCTGAACTGTCAACTTGGCATTTGCGATTCATGGGTTGAAAATTGTGCAAATTGGAATTTGTAATCAATGCAACAAATCTGGTTTGGGAATATGACAACTTAATTCTTACAGTTCCTATTTTAAAAATGTGTGTTTCCTGCCCTTTAACTGCCTTGCCCTACACTGCTTTTATGTTGGCTGAGCATATACGTACTGAAGATGATTCTGAATAACACTTGTGGATTTTTAATTTTCCCAAATATTAGCAAACTATCCATGAAGGTAATGGTGGGTTCTTAATAACGGTTATGAGTTTTATGGTATGTCTAAGGCCTTTGCTTCCTCTATGCAGAAGGTATCTTGTACAATGGTCATGTAGTGTGCATTCAGAGAAATTGTTTTGGTTTATTCTTGTGCCTCAGCAAAAAAACTGATTTCTTAAACATTAAAAGTCACAGCTTTTAATCTCAAGCTTCATGACTGAAAGGTCATTTTGGAGCACTTTATTGATTAAATAGTGTTGTATTGATCTGAAAACATGATGACGTGCAGCACCATAATGCAGCCATTGCAATAATTAATGCTTTGATTTACCTTGTATTCAAGTTTTGTTTACAGTTGCTGCCTTTAGCTAATTCTGTTCAATGTCTAGTGTTTTTTTCAATAGCATGCAAGTAATGAGTAATAATAATAATCCTTGCATTTGATATAGTGCTTTTCACATCCTCTAGACATCTCAAAGTGCTTCACAGAATATACTGTAAAGTGAATTGAATGTATATCTGTGGGTGAAATGCAGCAGCCAATTGCACACAGCAGTGTCCTGCATACAGTCGTGGATTGAAGTGACCAAATTATTTTGTTTAGGTAATAATGCCTAGTGTATGAAGCAGAGGGAAGAATTTGATTAGTAGTTGTGCAATGGAAAAATTTAAGCAGCCATATTTATTGCTATATAATTTATTGGTAATGAATGTTGGATTTTCACCAAATTTCATTTGTGGCAAACTGTACTGCAATATGTCATGTGATATGATTAGTTAGTATGAGTATAGAATAATTGATGACTTTTATTTATTAGGCGTGTAGAGACAAGGATTGAATGTGAGAATAGTAGGTGCCTTTTTACTAGTGCAGTTCTTTAGTATATGATCTTATACGGATGCAGGGCAATAACTTTAAGAATATGAAGAACAGCAGTGTAGACATAAAAGGAAAACAACCTGTAGATGTTGAAGATCTGAAGTAAAAATAGAAAATGCTGAAACAGCCATAGTTGGTCCATTTGTATCTAAATGATTCCCTTCTCCCCGCGTCTAAATTGTACTATGGTAAACCTTGTGCAATGGAAAGAGTGCTACTCCTTACACAAAGTGATTCCAAATTAGGTCATGACTATCAGCTGTCTTGCCAAATTTCATTGACCCAGTTCATTGACCACAGAACAATGATGCTATTTCAATCTCCCACCCACCTTTCAATCACTGTTGCTATTTTTGCTTTTGGTAAGGAATCTGAATTTTGCATCCAAGTCATCCAAAGTTTCAGATAACCATAATCTCTGCTACCTGTAAAGTGGTTTGCTGAAAATAAGAACAAAGGAAAACCTTAAGAATCAGCTGGAATAGTTTGTAGGGAAGGGTAGCAGAGGTCAGAACACTGGACTTAAGAAACAACCCAATGTTGAAGACAGTAATCTCAGTATTCTAGAAAAATGAAAATAGATGGACAAAAATAAATGAAATCTCTTGGAAACATTCAGAAGACATTACTGGTTCTGAGAAGCCTGTGATATTCTGTATTCTCATTTACAGCTCCAGGGTTAAAGATTAGCATATGAAGTGATGACTCATTGCATTGACAGTAATAAGCATCAAATGCTGATACTGCATTTGACTTATTAGTGACATAAAAGTTCCATGCAATCGTCGCCTTCGGTATTTCTTGGATCCTTGAGCATCCATTCTTAATGTGTTGTACAGGTTACACAGCGTTTAGATCTGCATTAACATTGAGAGCCTGACCAGTCAATAAAGCTGATTTACTGTGTGAATCCTTTGGGAACATGCTTTTTTCTAAAGCTTTTGGTCAGAGCCTTATCAGAACGAAGCTAGTATATTGGAACCTCTTGTTGAAAGAAGGTAGAGGTGATTTTAATAAATATAATGAAAAATAAAATAATACATGTCTATTGGTGTGGGGGGGAGAGAGAACGAGAGAGAGTATATGAGACTCAAGTAAATGTATGATAAGTACATCACACACAAGGAAGCATGCAACTAGTGATAGTGACACAATACAAACCTATGACAGTAGAATATGACATTATCAGGAGCTGTCATGCTTCAAAGATCTTTTTTTCACTTCTTGGTAGCAGTAGGCAGTGATTTCGGAAATAACTGAGAGCACTTTCAATTTTTAGTGATATAAATAAAATTAATGTTTTGAGTGCAGAGGTTACAGGGAAGATTTATAAGAACCTGAATACAAAATACACCCCAGATATAAATGATGATGTGATGGCTTTTTTTATTGATGACTATCAAGAAAGTCAAATTAAAGTATTCTGGAAACACTGGAATGCTCATTAAGAGCAATCTTTTCATCACTGGATGCTGGCATTGAAATTAACATGGACAAATGTGATGAAACTCGCCTTTCCATATCTGCTGTAATGATTTTTATGCCCCGTTTATGCTGTGCTTTGAACCACAAATTTGCAAGGGCAATTCAGACTCGAGCCCTTCTTGAGGAGGTGTTTTGCCCAGGAATCTATTTGCACTGCTGCAAATTGATTTAACTTTGTCTCAAAAAATGTCCCATAAACGTTTCATGTCCAGTTTTTAACATTAAAGACACTTTTGATAATCATATTAATTACATTACCAATCCAGCCACCTTGGATTGACCACAAGACAGTTAGCGAGGATGATTTTGCTCAAATATACAAAGACAATTATCTATGGGAGATGAAACCTTTTGTAAAGAAATATTAACAACATCATTCAATTAAGAAAGCAAGAGTTTTGAAATGATTTGGACACATCTTCATTCAAATAAACTGCACACTATTTGGATTTAGATTCCTGGGCAAAACACCTCCTCAAGAAGGGCTCCAGTCTGAATTGCCCTTGCAAATTCATGGTTCAAAGCACAGCATAAACAGGGCATAAAGATCATTACAGCAGATATGGAAAGGCGAGCTTCATCACATCTGCCCATGTTAATTTCAAATGGTGTGCAGTTTATTTGAGCAAAATCATCCTCGTGAACTATCTTGTGGTCTATCCAAGGTGGCTAGATTTATTTTTCTGCCTGGCCAAAGCATAAAATAAATATACGGTGTAACCAACTAACATTGTACACCACAACATTGCACAGCTTGTTATGAAACATTAAAACACCTCCTGAAAAAAACTGCCACTGTTTATTGCCTCATCTTTTATTGAATTAAATAATAATATTATTAAAATTTCATGTACACTTTCTCTTTCCTGGCAGGACCTCAAGGCACCTGATCAACGTGATGAACTAGCAAATGCCCGTGCTTGTTTGAAGCAATCTTCCTCATTGTTATATTCTACTTCCCTGGCTTGCTTGGAAAACACTGGTATCTCTTCTCTTCGAGCCAGCAGGGAATCTGTGTGCAATGAGATACAGAATGCTTTCACAATTATCTCAGATGCCGTGCAGGGAATTGCACATTCAAAACCTCAACTACTATCAGCTAAAGGATCAATTGTTCAAGCTCTCAATGAGTTTGAGGTAAGCAAATTTTAAAACAGTTTTATGTATATATATATAGAAAGGAGAATGATTTATGAAAATAAAGCAGAACTAAAATATCCATTAAAACTATAAATTAATGAATCTAAACGACAAATAAGAACATTGTTTGAGGTGTATTTTGTTGAAGCAAAGTTACTGGAACATCATCTTACGTTGCAACTGGTCCTAAAGTTCCTTTTTACTTCTAAGATCTGAATTTGAATTAAGTTCAGAATGTTCCATTGGTGTATCACCTTTACTGGTTGGAAGGACTCGGTATAGAAAAATTCAGATTTAAATGATTTGAGCACAAATACTAAATTGAAAATTTCACTTAGCAAGAGATATGATAAATAGAAAAGTTACAATGTGCAACATAGTGTTTTTACCATACAATTTACATTTATATAGTACCTTTCATGTCGGGAGGGTGTCACAAAGTGTTTTACATAGTTGCTTGGGCACCCAAGCCTGGGTGGGGAGGGGAAGGGGGTGCGTGGGAATGTGGGGGCAATGGAATACATGACCGAAAGCACGTTTCTTTCAGATAGGCTCAAAGGACAGAGATACTGTGTTATTCCTAGACTGAGAATATTTGTTGCTCTTGTGTTGCCAAAGCATAGAAAATGTTCCTTTTATCAAAACTGGAATCTTGCTTTGATGAACACTAAATTTCCCCAAATCTGACAGTTTTGATGAAACAATTTTTCAATTGTTAGAAAGAAGATACAATTTTATTGTCATACAATTTAACTGTGTAGTCATTGCACTTGTCAAAAGAAAACCACTGGTGTTATTTTAAAGCACAGTAGTAACCTAAACAATATTATTCTTTCAAGTATAAATTAACAAATATTTCTGAAATGATTTCCCACATGCATCCAAGCTGTTTTCCGGCTAGATCTGCTGTAAGAAACACTTACCTACGTATATTCACACATGAGTGAATGCTCACACAAGCCTAGTTTTTGCAATTAATTTTAAAAATGTTTAACCTTTCTTAGGAAATGCCAGGAATATTGATTAAACATACTGACATGTCTGTATTTTAAAATTTTGTTGCTTTAGCTTGATTTTCATGTTTTCCATATTGATTTAATAAATAATGGATTTCAGCCAATTTTCAATTTGAATGAAAGAATCATCCTTGTTGGTTTCATTTATACCCTTTCTTGTGAATCAGTGACCTTTTATAGGTTACTGGTTTACAAGAAAGGGTATAGTGGAAGAAGAAAATCGGGGAGGGATCAGGGATTCGAGTGTTTTGCCTAATTTCAGAATTTAGGACTATATGCTGGAAGGAGAGGCTCACATCTTTGTTGTCACTGAGATGAGTTAATATGGGAGCATGAATCAGTTTCAAAAGATTAGTGATATAAATAATGCAGATTTAAACAAGCTCTTTAATTTAATCCATAAGCAGAGAACTAGCAGGAAAAAATTAAGAAATCTCAAACTGTACTACAGATTTTTAAAAAACTCTCTTTCCACCCTCCCCTCTTCCCCACTAAGTGATAGATCTGTGTAACAAATTCCCAGAGTTAAATTGGTAATCTCAAATGGCCTTTTTGCATTCCATTCTTTCTTAAAATCTTATGTTTTTTCTTACATTTGTTCATATTCAATACCAATGGATATAAACAGTATCAATTGATAGTTCTGAATACAAATCATTCTTGCATTTGGTATTAGCAGTCTTTGCCTTTTGTAGGTGTTCCTCCTTAGCTTTACATCAAATGCAAGTTTAATGCTTTTTAGGTGTCACTTCTCTGGATCATTTGTAAAGATAATAAATTGCAGAATACCAAGGGCAGATCATTGTGAATTTCAATTAATCATCTTATGTTTTCTTATGTCTGGCCAATTAGTAATGAACTTGGCTTTGTTTTTATTTTATGACCCATAGCTTTGCAAAATGCTTCCTATGAGAAAGGGTCTTGTTGAGTCCTAGTTCAAAGTCTAGATGTGTAATATCCATGATGAATTAATCTAGTTATCTTCTCTAAGAAGTCCTATATATTTGTGTCATGCCTACCTTTGCACTGAATCATTCAACAACAACAATTTGCATTTATATCGCACCCTTCAAGCAGGATTCAGTGATATGGTGAATATTTTCAAAGAATGCTTTTCGATGCTTTAGTATTTCATGATAGTTTGCAAAAGGCTGAATAAATTTAACAATACAAAATTTATTTTGCTGAATATTTGCAACAGCTAGACTATTGATTTCTTTGTTTATTCTGGGTGCCTTTATTATCTTCTCATCTGATGCCCATCTCTAATTTAGGATAAGTGCCCCTTTTCAATGGTGAAGTTGATGTCATACTACTGTTCACTGGAAAACTCTTTGAAATTCCACTTTAATTGGCAATAATGCATCCCTGATTGCTGCATAACATAATTTGGAAAAATTGTATTGAAAGAAAGCATTCAGAAGCAATTAATGGAATAAATCATTTTTTATTGATCGTTGAATGTTCTCCCATGAATAATAATACTAATGAGTAATAATGGTCACTTGGACGAGGGTGCTGATGACAGCCAGTGCCTGTGTGCATGGGCCCAACAAGAAAAGGCGAGACAAAGAGCAGAGATGCATGTGCCAAAGAGGAGAGAATTAGACGTACTAAAATTTAAAGAAGAAAAATGTTGTTTTACAGCAGTTTGTTAAGGCGGAATGGTAATAGCTGTAGCATAAATGGTAAATGCTTTGATATTGAAAGTGTGAAGGGATAAAGACCTTCAGACTATCAATGGCCAAGCGTATGAATCAATGTTGTGGCATGTGGACCATTTGATGTATCGTGCATTTCATTATGCTTATTTTACCTGAGGAAAAGAAAAAAACATATTTCCAAATGGCACACATGAATCTTAAAATATGGCACCATAAGCACCATTAATCTTGCCTTGGGGTGGACCTATTGCACCCAAACTTATTTTTATTTATTTATTAATCCTTACATTTAGTTTAGTGCCTATAATGCCAAGAATGTTTCAAAGCGATTCACAACTTTTCTATAGAGTTTAGTGACTATTTACCAATAATAATGGCTCACAAATAGCCATTAAATGAATAATCAATTTTGTCTCTTGATATTTGTTGTAAATTGAGACAATCGTTAATATTGTTAAACAAATTAAGCTTTTTTTCAATTCAAAAACCTCTTCATTGCATCAATATTTGTCTTTCTTCAATATACTAAAGATAGATTCAGGCTTATCTATTATCATTGTAAAGTAAATGAATGTAGGATAGAGTGGATTACAGGGTCAAAAAGCATCATTTACTTCTGGGTTCAAGCATCTCAAACAGAAGTACTGGAAAAAGTCATGAGCTGCTATCTTAGCACCATAGAAATGACATTAATCGGACCTTTCATTCATGCTTCGATTTCGCTCCAGGCATCATAACCTTATCTTGAAGAAATGTGTACCTGTCCCATCAATCTATGATTTTGGATGACCTAGAATCTTAGCTTTAAAACAATTATGCTAATTATGTCTTTTGTAAATGTGAAGTATTTGTGGGTGCAAAGGGTTAATCAAAACAATTTCTGGAACGAGATAGTCTGAAGTCCACTGATAAGCAGTCTCAATGTTTAGCACTCTAAGCAACTGAGTATCAGGCTGCATACCTCATGTTTAATGAAACGTTCAAAGGACAGTTTTAATATAATTGAATGTTGGTATCAATTCTGATCCCAAATTTTAATGAAGATTCAGAACATTGCTAAATACAATACACAATTGAAGTGTATATCACAGAGTCTCAAGATCAAAGAAGGATTTTTTAGAATATCAGAAAACAGATTTTTTCCTTTAATTGGCACCTTTTATATGGTGATGTGGCAACTCATGTTTTAATTAACTCGATCTTATTCTTTTTATCAGGAAATCTGAAATTTTTCACTTCCTAACATATTCTAATTTGTACTAATTGTAATTTGTAATTCTCCTAGTTCATAAAATTTGTGCTCTTAGGTATTTAGGGGAGGAAATGTGGTACAATATGTTCTATTTATCACAAGGACAGAAATGTCATTTAAATGCGTCCTCAAAGTCTGCTCGAAAGACAGTTTTGGCATCAAACCCCCACTGTCTGGAGATTTGCTTCTCCCTCAGGTCTTTCAGAATCAGAAGGTGCCATCTTTTTGCTATCAAAAATCACAAATGCCTTTCTTTATTCCAAGCTCCAGAATGAAGTTACATATAATTACATAGCATTTTAAAGTAGTATATTTGGTGAAGAAGGATTCAATCTCTGTACGCATAGCTGGGAATTATTTTAGGCCCGTGTTCAACACCAGCCTTTTTAAGTGACTGAGGATCTTCCTGCCTGACAAGCTGTGCAAGCCCAGAATCATAGAATCGTACAGCACAAAAAGAGGCCAGTCGGCCCATCGATTGTGTGCTGGCTCTTTGAGAAGAGCAGTGTAATGTCAATCCCACTCCCCAGCCCTTTCCCCATAACCCTGCAAATCCGTCCTCCTCAAATACCCATCCACCGCGTTTTTAAAAGTAGTTATCGAATCGGCCTCCACCACCCTTTCAGGCAATGCGTTCCAGATTTGAACAACTCGCTGCGTGAAAACAGTGGGCATTGGTAAGGTTTTGGAATCCTTCTGTCGTGGCTGCTTTTACCTTCAAGATTTGAAACCATCCATGACTACATCTTGGAATTTTAAACTCAGTTGATCATGTTCCAGCATTGTAACCATTCATGAGAACTAGTCCTACTGTTCAGATAATCTGTGTAACTGCAGATTTCACTGCAGATTTCCAATGGTGCTGTCATGTCCTCATGGCAACTGCAGTGCAGACAACCGTACATAGGAAACATTGATACAAATAACATCTTTATTTAAAATATTACAATAACACACTATTGTTTGTGCAAGAAGAAATTGCCACCCACTCCTAGCAATCCTATGTTAGAAATGTCCTATTAAAATATCATTAGGAAAAAATTCCACATGGATCCAGGTTTACTTTATGTATGAATTTAGAGCAATCTGAATTTGGTAAATTTTCAGATAGAACCTTAATTTTGAAGCGGGTTTCCTGCAAGTACTTTTAAGAGTTCAAGTTAAGTCTGAATTCAACAATTTGCTAAATTGTGGACACTCTAAAATGTTGCTTAAATAAAGTAAATATAGACCTAGGGGGAATTTCTACCCACATGTTCATTGACACAAATAATCCACAGCAACTTTCAACTTGTAATAAATTGAAAACAAATGTTGATCTTGCAGTATTTATTGAAGAGCATTAGCAGTAAAGGGTCTGATTATCTTTTGCATTGGTTTTCTGTAATCCACAGTATTTGGAAATAAATATGGACAGTAAATGCACTATAGGGATTTAACTTCATTAAATGTACTTTAAGATGCTACAGAGTGCTTACCCAACAAGTATAAGATTTGTGATCTCTCTCCCGATCTGTGATTTGCATGCAGTGAGAGATGCAGTTTCTGGCGTACTGTGAGCCATGGCACATCACAAATCATCATATATCCCAGTAGTACCATAATTAAACAGAATATATTATATGCCATGCGCAGCTGAAAAAAAGAATATAGTTAAGGAGCTTTTGGCTGAAACATTGCCATATATTAAGAAGTCCCTGACAGCTAATTTGAAGTAGATGTAAGATGTCAATGGCAAGTGTCATTGGTATCGTAGAATTGTTCAGAGTTAATTGACATTAACTCCATGGCTTGAATGGACTCATTAAATTTTCTAAATGTGTTAAAAACACATAAAAAGCAAGGAATGTGATTAGAAAACAGAAAAGCACAATAACCCTACCTAAGAAATGTTAACTAATGTGTGGCGTTGTTTGCTTTTGTATGGAAATATTTTTATACTTCAGTTTAGACATGTACTAAATTTAGATTTGTGCCCTGCAGTAAAAAAAATCTCTATCAAGTGCATCCTCATTATGTGTTTGTGAATATAAATACAGCAGTCAAAGGTCTGATTGTTGACTTTCCTTTTTTAGATGAGAGTTTCTCTGGGCAACAATCACTGCATAAACTCTTTCTAGATGCTAACTCTTCAACTCCTTCATTCATTGTGAACTAGAGTTAGAAATATTAATGCAGTCAGTTCTAAATCTCAATTTCCACTGACCTGAGACATAAGAATGTTTTCCTTCATATGATAGAAAATCTAATTTCAAATGTTCTCACAAAAATGTGTGAGTACCATACTATTGGTAAAACACTACTCTTGATATAGATCCAAGTAGTGTAACATGAAGAAAAGGAAAGTACCTTTGTGATTTACAAATCAACACAAAAGTAATCATCTGAGTCGGTAACTCAATGTGAATCACCTGAAGCTGTGTTCGAGCTATTGCCTGGAAGCTGGCTCAAGGGCACAAGTCTCATCAAAATCTGGGTATTGGCCTGTGTGGAACAAAAGATAGAATTTATTGTACTCATTTGGGGTTACGGTCCATTAAATATGTTCATGCTATTCAATACTTTTTCATTAGTGTAATTTATTCAGGAATGGGAACTGGGACTTAGTTTTTACTCCTTCCATTGCAGAACAGTGCCAGTTAAAGCTGTGAAAGTAATATATTTTAATAACTTGTTTCAGTGTTGCTCTAAATTTCTGCTGCTGCAACCTTCTTGCCACTGGCAAATTGGCAAGCAGCTGAAGTGGGGACTGTGATAGTGAATAAGCTGCCAAACATTGATAGCATTATTTATGTAATATTTAGAGATCCAAAAAAGGGAACAGGAAATAGGTTCATTATAGCTGTTAAATTATATGGATATTAGAACTGTAACTCGTCACAATTTTTAACTCCAGATCCCACTAATGGGATTTCCATGATGGTGATCAAAGTCTTCAAGAGTCATGGGAGATATTAAAGTACCTTAAGTGTTATGATAATCCAGGCTAAAATATAAACGGTACTCAATGGTAAACCGTTGAATATGGAATCCATTACACTCAGGAGTAGATTCTTGCTTGCCTTATGTGACTTGCAAATGGCATTGAAACCAAAGAGCTGTGATTAGGACCATGTGGGAATGAAATTTAGCATGTGATGTTAGGTACTAAATGGCAATCTGTTTGATGGATTTATACTCCACAAATTTAAACAGTTAAGAGATACATTGACTGGAGTACTCACTCTTGCAGTCTGTCCCTTCATCACTTGCACCATAGTCCTAGAGCATGTTAAACTGAGAATACACAGTCCCAGTATGTGTTAAACTTGCTTTTTGGGGCAGTGACTCACGTATGCAGTTATTGGCAAGTATCCATATGCAAGGGAATACTCGAGTGAGATGCAGCTAAATGCATCTTTGTAATCGCTCTGCAGTTCCTATGATGATAGAGACTAAGTGGGTTTGATCACATCCATAGGGAGAAAAGTACATTTGAGGATATTTTTGAATTTTATAAAGCCCTGTTGTTGTGACATGATCTCTTTCATTGTCTGATGAACCCACTGATCCTTTCCTGATGTCACTGTACAGAGTTGTTTTTTTCAGAAATGGGATAAAGCTATCTTGGTGGGAATGTTTTGGTGTTGTATAGCAGCACCATGGCCGATGGGTCAGACAATCCTAAGGGGGATTCTGTGAAAGGCGTTTGCACTCTCCGTGTGTAAAGAAATCATAAACTGTATGTTCAATTATTGCAAAGATAAACAAAAAAAGGAAGAAAGTAACAAATGTGTAAATAATCTTGTAACCTGGTTCAAAATCAAAGTGCACTATTTTGACTTGAAGAAACTGGCATGCATACCTGTATCTTAAAAATATTTTGAACAAAATGGGTAGGTCTGTTTCAGTTATTATACACAATATATTTGACATGATGTTTATCACAATAGTTTTTCTCTGCGGTGATCTTGTAATTTAGGGTATAGCTAGATTCTCTTGATAGTGCTACAACAACAACTTGCATTTATATAGCGTCCTTCACGTGATACAGCACCTCAGAGTGCTTGAGCACTTGTTTTAATCCTCAGTTCCACATCCTCAGAAAAGTCATGTATTTGTAGGAGAGGGGAATAGTCAGCTCTGCTAAAATTCAGGTCACCTGATGTATTAACCAATATTATATTTCTTATTTATAAATATTACTGAATATTATTTTACAAAAAATTAAGTATCTAAATGGTGTTTTCTTCTTTTTCAGAATACATTAACAAATGACCCACTTACGAATGATGAAAACAAATTAAGGCCCATGCTGGAAAAGAGGTTGGAAAATATTGTTAGCGGAGCAGCTTTGTTAGCAGACTCCTCGTGCACACGTGATTTGCATCGTGAGCAAATTATAACCGAGTGCAATGCAGTGCGCCAAGCTCTTCAGGATCTGCTGTCTGAATACATGAGTAATGTGAGTAATCTATGATACTTTCCTCCTTTTGTTTTTCTTTGCAATAATTGAACATGCAGTTTATGATTTCTTTACTTGGAATATGGAGCAGTGATACTTGGAGTACATGAGAATTTGATTTGTGGAATGACGCTACTTTTTTGCATTTTGAATTGATGAGCATAATTAATGTTCCCAACAACAGCTTGACTGCATTAACATGTAAGTTATTTCCACAATGGAATACAAGATCAACAGATGACATTACTTTGTCATCGAGACATGCCCATTTGTATAATATAGTGTTGCCAGATTTCAACAATTTACATTTATGGTGGTTGGGGTTGGGGGAGGAGGAGAAAGCAAACACAGACTTCACTTGTGTAGAAAGAAGTCAGAAGTACCTGTTAGCAATTGCCTTCATCTGATGGGAGTACATGATATTCCATTCACATTCAAACTTTGAAGTCTACTTGCTGGTTTTAAAATGTGTGGATCTTACAGCTACTACTTTACTAAAGGTTAGAATTATAACTTAAAAGTGACCCAGAACCTTAACATCCTTAACTCAGTTGGTATTAATTGAGGATACTTACCATTACAGTCTCTGAGCCCAGGAAAGATGCAGATAATATTTACATTAAGCCTGCGTAGATTAAATATAAGATGTATCAAGTTTCATCCTAATGTAGTACATTATGAAAAAGCTAATACAAATTACACAGAATTGATAATGCTGGGACCAGACTATTTGGCCTAACAAGTCTGCCTGTGTTTATATTTCTCTCTCCCTAAGCTTTTTTGTGACTCAGAATTCTGATCTAAGGTACTCCTACACCTAAACTTACAAATAAAGGTGATTCTTAGTGCTACTTTTATTGTTTAAACACCATGCCTTAGTGTACTTTTTCAGTCTCTAAGGACTATGTTAAAAGATCATTCGGATTATTATTTTAAACATTATAAAAGCTAGACTTCTATTTACAGATATCTGCAATTGAGTAGAAATGCCAAGAGGGGATTTATGAAAATGTTTTTTTGTGGGCTAAAGTCTACATAATAATGCAATGATTACATTGGTCATTCAGTATCTCATGCCCCATTGTTCGGTGTTGAAACAATTCAAATATAAGAACTGTATGATCACATGGCAAATAATGTTGTGTTGCTCCACTGGCTTTGTGATCTGATTGCCTTCGAACAACTGTGATGCATATATATCTGTTGCTAAACTACCAAAAGAAACTGTAAGAACAACAGAAGATAACAGAATTATTTAAATTATAAATAGTCATGAGAATTCACATACTATGCATGGATAAAATATTGTATTCTGAACTGCAAGCATCACTTACCTTTGGACATTGTTAGACATGGCATTTGAATTCCTCCACTCCCTCGACAGACTTTCAGTTGAAGAGTTTTACTACATCTTTTTTGATTGGAGCAGAGTTTTTTCTGTGAGCACCAAGTCCTCCTCAGTTGCTGGATCTCAACACCTTATTAGAGAAGATATTTGTCCACAACAATGAAAACACAACAATAACATTTACCATGATTCAGAATTGCCTTTAGGAAAACAAAGGTTTCCATATTAGCATTCATGCGGCAGTGATTTTAAAAACTTACTGTTGCACACTAATATTTTCCAAGTTGTTATTCATTACATTATGGATAAACCATTCGGAGTGTGGGGAAACGACTTATAATAATAATAATAATAATAATAATAATAATCCTTGCATTTGATATAGCGCTTTTCACGTCAGGAGGACGTCCCAAAGCGCTTCACAGAACACACTGTAAAGTGAATTGACTGTACATTCATACACTGTAAATTGACTTCCGCAAAGATGACACTTATTTTCAGGTAGGGACAGACACTTATTTTAACCTTCACCCAAGTTTGTCAAATGTTTGTCAGAAAGTCGCTAGGTAACTCCTTCAGCTGTGCCACCTCCTCTGTGCAATGTTTTACCTCATTGCAGTGAGGATTGTCCACATGCCTCTAAACAGGATATCCCTCCTCCCCAGAATGATTGGAAGCTTGGAAGCCATGCTCTTTGTATCACATGGGACTCAGTTGAAATTGGTTGGGGAAATTGACCAGAGCTTCATGTCTTGTTTCATACTAGTCAGATTATAATCTGTAAACTGAACGATTTATGTTATCCCCAAACAAACACATACAGAAATATCCGTAAATTTCTTTAACTCTTTTCTAATAAATTACATCCATCCTTATGTTCTTACCTCCAGTTCTTTAAATGATGCAATTAGCCAAATCAATGTTGTTAAGTTCTTTAAATGCAGACTTAGTACTGGAAAAATGCACCAACATTTTACATTGAGCTGTATTACTGGCTGTGCTTATTTTAACTGCAATTATTGACAAACTGTCTGAACCATCCTCCTTGGAGTGAGTGTAATTGGTGTAACTCAATCTGAAACAATGGTTGTTGTGTTTGTATTGTATCTGAGGATATGAAGATATTTAATTAATGGATAAACAATTGTCCTGTGCAAGTATTGAAAATGTGGATTGTCTAATGTGGCCATGAACTTCAACTCTTCAATGACCAGAACCTGTCTGTACTTGATACCACATTGTGAATCCCAAATGACACTTTCTATATAATCTTATATTAATGATGAAGAAATAGCAATATATGGGGGAACAAATCATGACTTTTGCTTGAAAATGTGTTCTAATGATATTTCAATATGTATGGTATGTGTAAAATGTATTTGAGGATTATTGTAGAGGATCAGCATTTATTTTAAAGATTCAATACCTTACAGATGTTTGCTTCACCTTGATTTAACCTAATACCTGTCCGTTAGCTAGTACTTACTGTAGTTGTGCTATCTGCATTCCCAGCTTGTTCATCGGTTAGAGACGTTGATTTATTTTTTATTTCCAAGCGCGCCTTCTGCTTTCTTCAGAAAACTGGCTTGAGTGCTGACTAAATGCATATAATTTATATTGAAATTATGACAGAGTAAGCAATCAGTAAATTAAAAGCTGAAGTGTCATAAAACATTTTGTGAACTGAGGATATAATTAATTGATTGACTCAATATCCAACTGATTGTATTTAATCTTTACAGGTCATTGGAAGTGGGTGAAGAGCTGTATTTATGGATTGGGTTGTCTATTTGACAGACACAAATTTGTCATCTCCATAAGTTACCAATTCATAGACACCAATTTGTCATCTCAATAAGTTAATAAATCATCCACCTCAAAATTGAATTTGGTTTTGCTCCAAACACATTTGAAAGATCAGGCCATTAAAATATAAATTATCGAAATTTTGTTTTCCTTGAGAATTTCAGATGTCATGATGCAAAATATTGCGACCCAATAAAATTCAGTAAAATGAGACCTGGGAAAAAATATCTTTATTCAAGTGTAAATGTATGGGCAGAAAGATCAAGGTGATCTAACTCACGTCCAGCTAGAAATCTGGTCAATCGACTTGTTTTTGCTGTCCAAAAATGTACAGTAAACTCCTGATGACTCATCACTCCAAAGGAAAAGGGCACAGTGATAAGTTAGGCATATGTAAAAAAATATATAAATGGTACCAGGAAATTGATAGCATGATGACTTGAGCGGTATTGATAATTCAAGGCAGGGTTGAGTTATTAGGCATTTACTAGTGTAATTCTAGTTTCTTAGCTAATATAATCACAAGTATATAGATATCAATAGACCCCCAGCTCAGGTCCAAAACACTGATTATCCAGCACCTTGGGCCGTCCTCCCGATGTGAAAAGCGCTATACAAATGTAATTTCGTTGTTGCATGTTTCTAGATTTAATTGCCAATTTTCGGTTTAATACCACCACCAAATACTCAAATATTCGTTCTCTAGATTTGCTCAAATGGCAGATTTAGTGGAAATCCTTGATGTTCTTGCTCGGTGAATATTTGTGTTTATCTGGATTTCTAAATGGCTTCAGTTTGTAGATTGCTGATGTGCTGAAACCAGCAAGTTTGTCAAGTACATGATGATTTTTCTTTATTGATTACATGAACAGGTAATGCTGAAACTGTTGCCTGTTCTGTTGTGTATTCAACATTTTAAAAGTGCAAATGATTTATTTCTGAGTTAGGAACTTAATTTTCAATAAGGTGGAATTAAAATGGAAAATCCCAAGGATTTTAAGTTATTTGTGTGAGAATGATAGTGTTCACACTTCACTATTTACTGATTGATTTTCATTTAGTAAGGTTGCTGTAGCTAAATATTACTCTTCAAGATGGTAGCTGCAATAGATCTAATTAGTTCTGTGAATAAATAAGGTTGTACTTGCTAGAAATCTGCGTGGTTTACGTGCTCGCATGCAAAAACATTTTTTTTGTAGACTTCATTCCAAACGACATGCTTGAAATCTTGAACTGCTTGTTATTTTTCATTTCACTTGTAATTACAGTATTAGCTTGCAAACCGCCCATGATTCTTTTGTTTAAAAATCAAAGAGAAAATGGAAACTTCAGAAAAGAAATTCACTAACTATCAAATTAAAGTTCATCATGTAGGGTGAGAGCAGGGGAGGAAATCTCGTGGATTGGTTTTGTATTCCATCAAGTGACTGTGCATATTATGCAGTTTACATAGAACCACATATGGCTTATTTCTAGTCAGGCTTCTTTATTACCACAAGTCAGAACATTTCTTTGGGTGAAGGGCTAATAATACGCATGCTAACCTGTGAGGTTCAACATTAGTTTTAACTGTTTGAGATATATTCGTGAAAAATATTAATTGTCAAATCCGTATCTTCAAACTGTGCATAATCGGCATGCCTTTCATGTAGCACATGACCATAATTCAGGTATTTGGTGTCTTCACACAGTCTATGGCATTCATTATGAGAGCTGTGCTGAGTTTATAAAGAGATTATAATCACTGAAATATTTTAGCTTGAAGCATTTCTCTTTTCCCAGGCTGCATAACCTTTTGATGAATTTAATGAGGGGGTAAACTCCATCCTCATTGTTTGTTCACAAT